CTATTATTTACCAACTTATTTATTACATCCACATTACTGATGGTTATTTATATATGCAGTGTACTACTGTAAATATAGGAACTACATTATGTTTCCCTGTTCCTGGTGTAAAACAAATCAATGATCATAAGGTGCAAATAATTAGATTCAGAAAACAGGTACATGACAAGATGTACAACAATGGAAAATCTACGTAAAAATCAAATAAAGTTGCAATTTCAAATGTAACCAATGTGATATGTAAATGTTGTTTCGCTCAGCCTTAGTAGAGAATAAACTCAAGTTCTTTATATAGGAGGGAAGAGAAGGGCTTTGCACATCTTCAAAATGAGTATAATGTCTTTAGAAAACTAGCAGATCGCCCTGGAGGCTGAAATAAATTATTGTGTGGCCTCTGTCACGCTGTTCTGCTCAATTTGCTCAATTTGCTCAATACTGTTCAAATCTCTCCTTCTCCCCTCCCAGCCTCAGTTGCCCCTGGGCTCCTCCAGTGATGGCAGTGGGTCTGCGACTACATGTCCCTCTTCGCCCCCTCTGACTGCAGGCGAGGGCCCGGACTGGTCCACCAGTCGGAACTCAGCAGCAAAGCCCCGGGCTCTAGCGTACTTCAAAAGACCCAACACTGCGTTGTTGTTGAGGTTTTTAATGAGGTCCCCGACCCCTGCCTCGTGAGCCGCTCGCAACTCCCTGGAAAAAATACATTTCTTTAAGAATTCAAAGTTTTGGAACATTATTGAAAGTAATTTTCCGCTAACAACACTTTTTCTCTGCTCGTGTTCCCTTGGGACCTTTTGTTCTTAAAGTGACTGAGAAAAACTATTAAATCCTCCTTCTCTTTGCCCCTGCTCAGGTTCACATTTCAGGCTAAGCTGGGCGCACGCTGGTTCCCTGCAGTGTGTGCGTCCAACAAGAAGCAGGGAAAACAGGAAGCAGCAGATGCCGCTCTACGGGTTCTGATTGGAGAGGGCAGCCCGCACCGGGGAGCTAATCCCAGCTGAGGTACTGACTTCTTAATGGTTCACATTTTCTGTCATGAAACATTAGCCTTCTCTTGCTCACCGTGGGGATTACGCAGAGCATAATGGAGTTACAGTCAACTAGGGGTGGGCGATACCACAAAATCTGGATTCGATCCGATACCAAGTATTTCAGGGCCAGTATCGCTGATACCGATATCGATACCGATACTTTTTAAAATGAAAAGCGTCTTATGTACTTTCATATAGGGGAGAGCTGCATGACATGATTTTTGAGCTGAAAGCATCAGAGACTAAATCTGAATTCATTTTCATGAATAAATACTAGGGCTGTCAAGTTAACGCGTTAATAACGCGTTAATGCAAAAAAAAATTAACGCCACTAATTATTTTAACGTGATTAACGCATGTGTATTTTTTGTCCTCGGCCGCCGTAGTTTCAGAGCGCATCGAGTTTAAAATACCATCGACAAGCTGATGCTGACAGCCCCGCTCCTACCGCCCGCTTGTGGCAGACCACACTTCCACGCTCACTGGCAGGCCCGGACTGGCCATCGGGAGGACCGGGAGGGAGTGTGTATGTGTGGCGCGACTCGCGCGAGCGAGGCACACCTTACGTGTTGTTAGCATCTGGTGCTAGCTAGCTACGCTAACGGATATAAGGAGCTGTTTCAATGACATTTCGCCGACAACTGCGCCGAGCACTTGACTTTATGCAGGTAGCCAGACAGTGGGACATTGTACGAAAAGTCAGCACACTCAGCACGGATAGTACGCGCAACATGATTGCAGCATCCAGGCAGCTCCCATTCGAGCATATATGCCTTGAGCTGCACATAGCTCCAACGATCCATCACAGTGTCCACACATACACACACACACACACAGTATTATTGTATGAGAGAGGTTCCAGGTTGAATTGAAGCGAATATTTGTAATGTTCAGGTTGTTGTGTTTAATATTCATGAGAATATTTGTCATTGTTCAAATGATAATAAACAAACATATAAAGCATATTTGTCCACTCATATGTTGATAAGAGTATTAAAAACTTGAAAGATATCCCTCTAAGGTACATTTAGAACAGATAAAAAATGTGCGATTAATCGCGATTAAATATTTTAATCGACTGACGGCCCTAATAAAGACAGGACCGTTTTTATAGACAAACGTTTTATTTTTGCAAATTTATAGTGCAAACATGAAAAATAACAATACAAAGTGGCCAGAGTAGCGAACTGCCTTCTTGCACACATCACAGTTCGCTAAGTTTTCATTGTCAGTTGTGAAATAGCTCCACACAACGCTCCTCTTTCTCTCAGCCATCATGCACGTGTGTGTCGCACTCGCGAGTCGCTGGCTGCTGCTGTCCTGCTGGCAGTCAGCTTGATAATCGGCGTTCAGGCAGGGAGCGCTCGAGGAGAGGAGGACAGCAGTGGAGAGAAAAGAGCGCATATACTTGTGTTCGTCTGCACATAGTTTTTGATGAAATTGACGAGTAGAGGAGAGGGGGGAAAAAAAGTATCGATCCTATTGGCTCTAGTATCGATATTTTGAAACGTAACGTAATATCAGAAGTATCGATATTTTGGGATCGATCCGCCCACCCCTACAGTCAACACCTGCATGTAATTGGTTAACCACCTCACATGGGCAAATCACACATAAAAAATAACATCTGCACACTCAGACTAACATGTAACCTCAGTTAGAACATAATGAGTCTTAAGGTAACTACACCCTGAGACTATTTTACCCCACACCTTGGTGGCTTCAGAGTAATTGAATCACTTGAAGGCTTTGTAGCATAAAAGGTAGTGAATATGACAAAATATAAACATTACACACATTTGGAAAGCTTTAATAACTTGCTATTGTAGTTTTCCTGAGATGTTTCATTGAATTTCACAGTCATTAATACTTCAGACGTACCAAATATTAAATAATGCTCATTTCCTTTTTGATTTTGCCTGTCCTGTTTGCACCCCTCTCTCTAGCTCCCAGTGAGTGGCAGCACTTTGCACGACCAGATAGCGATGTTGAGTCACCAGCGCTTCAACGCCCTGCCCACATGTATCCAGCACAGCCTTCACGGAGGTAGAGGTGAGTAAAGTACTCAAGGTGTTTTACTCATGCGCCCTATATGGCTAGTATTTTACTAAACATCTGGCAACAATGACTAAATTGTATGTTTATGTTCTGTAGCTTCTTTCCATGACAAAAAAAAATCAAGGTGGAGGGACTCCGTGTTTTAGAATGTGGAGACGCGGAGCTGCTACAGGAGAACGGGACCAGGATCGTAGTAGATACACAGGTCTACATTTCCAGCAAACCCAACACTGCCCTCCCCCCAACCTCTCTCACCAACTGCCTCCAGGACATCAGGAACTGGATGAGCAGGAACTTCCTAAAGCTCAACGGCAGCAAAACCGAAGCCCTGCTGGTTGGCACCAAAACCACCCTCTCCAAAACCTCATCCTCCCCTGCCTCCAACCTCATCATTGATGGCTACTCCATCCCCTTCTCTGGCCAAGTTAAGAGCCTTGGTGTCATCCTGGACAGCTCCCTCTCATTTTCACCTCACATAAATAACATCACCCGGACTGCCTTCTTCCACATACGCAACATCTCCAGACTCCGCCCATCCCTTTCTCAATCAAACACTGAAATCCTGGTCAATGCCTTTGTCACCTCCCGCATCGACTACTGTAACGCCATCCTCTCAGGCATCCCCACCAAGCTCATCAACAAACTACAAATCATACAGAACTCTGCAGCCCGGATCATCACCGGCACCAAGGCCTCAGAACACATCACCCCCATCCTCATCCAACTCCACTGGCTCCCCGTTCAATCCTGCATCAACTTCAAAAACCTACTGCTCACTTACAAAGCCCTACATAACCTGGCCCCCCCTATCTGGCTGACCTTCTTCAGGAGTACACCCCGTCTCGCTCCCTCCGCTCCTCCTCTGCTGGTCTGCTAACCGTCCCCACCCCACGCCTCGTCACCATGGGTGCTCGGGCTTTTAGCTGCACTGCTCCCAGACTCTGGAACTCCCTCCCCCCGCACATCCGACAGTCAGACACAATCACCATATTCAAATCCCAATTAAAAACCCACCTGTTCAGATCTGCCTACTCACTGTAGTCCTCCCTATTATATGTTTAATTTGTGTCCACTTGACTGTCTCCTCCATGATTTCCTGTTTGTGTTTTTATCATGTTTTGCTGCCTATTAGTGTTTTATTTATTTATTTTTTAACAAATTGTATGGTGTCCTTGGGTGTCATGAAAGGCGCCTAAAAATAAAATGTATTATTTATTATAGATCGAGCCATTTGGTTGAAGTACGAACCTCCAATAGTCGCCATGCCAGAGTTTAATTTCATCTTTACTACGTTGGCATCTGTGCACGTCACATGCATTTAAAACGTAAAAACACACCATGCCCCCCATTTGCCCACCCTGGACTAATAAATGTCCTTGGTGATTAACACAGGGGGGCAAATTGAATCTCTCGTAAACCTGTAGTGAAGGAACACCGTCCTCTCCCCCAGAGTGATCCCTCTCCCCCAGAGTGATCCCTCTCCTCCAGAGTGATCCCTCTCCCCCAGAGTGATCCCTCTCCCCCAGAGTGATCCCGCTCCCCCAGAGTGATCCCTCTCTCCCAATGCACCCCCACAGTCTGAGGTAGAACATCTGATGAACTAGTTGGACAAAAACACAGGAACTAACATTAAGCTAATTGAGGAATTGATCTCCAACAATTAAATGTAATGTTAAAAGCTCGTTGAGCCAATTTATTTCAAATAAGTAATGTGTAAGTGGCACGGCCTTGTTGAATTTCCTTTTGAGTTTCATGCTCTGTGGCATTATTACAATGATGTTCACATTTTTCGTCAACAGTAGTCATCCTTCGGGTTGGTGGTGATAAGCTTTATTCTGAGCAAAGCCACTAGGTTGCTAAACTACTGTTATCTTAACAATTTGTGATTTATTATTGAATGTCTTTGCTTGCAAGTGTGTACGGGGACAAGCTGCGCGGACAGGTGGAAGAGCGCTTGTCTTTCTATGAGACGTGCCACGCAAGAATCTGGATGTCATGAAGCTGTGAAAGAGGTGAGTGCAGAAAAGAAGCTCTTTACCCATGGATCAAATGTGTCCTATAAAAAGTTCAGTCTGTAAATGCTGTGGATGATGACAAGCTTTGTCCTGACCCTACTGTGGGGGTTTAAAATGATTTAATGAGCCTGACGCAGCATTAGGATGTAGAAATGTTGAACCAAACAAGCCAGTTTGCAACCATTTAATAATTTTTTTGTCCTAGGCTACTGAGATCAAGCGGAAACGCAAGAAGCGTGAAAAGAAGACTCTGGCGAGACCAACGGTGAAGCTGAGGTAAGCAGTGGTTGTAGTTTCAGGACTCGCATGTTTTGATTTGAGATTTGACCCTCACATGGTCCTCTGTGTACGACATGCTAAATTATCATGACTCCGAACCATTGGCTGGTCCCAAATAATGGACCCGATCACTGAAGTGAGTCAGACATTGCATCCACATAGAGCAGGATGTATATACATTGAGGGCTTGGAGTAAACATGAATATAGTTATTAACCTTTTTTACTGTCTTACAGGCAGAAAATGGAGACGCAGACACAAAGCCAGCGGCCGAGGAGATGGAGGTCGAGGCAGAGGAAGCCCCTGCTGCACAGAACGGAGCCGAGGAAACCCCAGGGAAAAAGACGTGGAGCTTGCTGTGGTCGAAGATAACGGAGCAGAGGTGTCTCTGTGTCTCTGTGTGTGTGAGCCACATGATGACATGTATAGATGCCGCAGCCTCCGGGCCGTGAGGACCTCTCATCTATCACCCTAGTCTGATGGCTGCTCGTTAATGAGGACCAGTGTTTCCGCTAGACCAGGGCTGAGAGGGCGTCCACCCCGAGAGCGGGGGGGGGGGGGCGGGTGCTTGAATTTTGACTTGAGCCGTCCCTTATAGATACTGTCTTTTTACGTTAGTGAGCCGGATCATTTGGCTCGGCTCTCTTAAAGCGCCGGCTGTTTCGGCTCCCAAGCGGCTCTTCATGTTACCACAGTTTACCACGGAGCCTCAGTTTCGCCGCTGCGAGGCTCTGGTTCTCACGCGCGTGCTCCACTAGCACCACTCATCGCGTCCAAATCGCGCACGTTCCGTGTTGTGCTGTAGCAGGCACCGCCGATGTCGGGGAAACAATCTTCAATACTCCGAAAAGAATCCCACCAGACTCCTTTGCCTCTCCAACAGAGGGATGTCCTTTTTCCTATTTGTTATTTCAAGCGATAAAAACTCGATCTTCTCTCGAATTATTAAAATGTTTGGACGCCCTCGGCTCGAGTTCAGGGCGTCCCGAGCTGAATAAGGGCGTCAAATGACGGCAAGACGCCCCCATGGCGGAAACGCTGATGAGGACTCTAATTACCTCACCTGCCCAGGGTTATAATAATAACACCGTCTGTGTGCAGGTGTGGCTCTGATGACCACGGTGGTGATCTCCACCCGGGACCACGGCGGGGTCGCTGAGATCAAGAGGGTCATCATGGAGAGAGACACCTACCCTCGAAAGTAGGGGCTGGGCCCCAAGGTACGATCTGTTTCCTTTTTACCTGTTCTGTGGTGTTAAAGTTATGTGTTGATGAGCTGCGGCTCGCCTCGAAAGTAGACGAGAATAGCCGATTGCAGCCGGGGGAGGTCTCAAAAAGCTTGCCTGAAGTCGGACAGCTCGGAGTCGGCTTGACTCGGCTTTGCAATGGCAGAAATTGCGTTGGCGTTCTTCGTTGTGGATGCAATAGAAATCCCACATTTATTTATTTATATGGAGAAGGCCATGATGAACACCGTCTGCGGAGGTAATTACGTATATTTTTATTTGATAGGGACATACCATTTTAATGAACAGCAGTATAAAATACGTAAAATAAAAAATGTAAATGCTTTTGAGCAAACGTGCTAATTTACATCCGTAGTACCTAGGCAGGTAACAAAGATAGACAAAAAATACACAAGTAAAAAGACAAAATCCATTGTAGGCTACTACATGTATCTAGGCCTACAGTACCACTGGCTGCATCAGTATAAATTAAAAAGTATGATCGATTATCCGGACTGATTACTTTACTTTACAGATCACAAATTATGACACTATTAGTCTTTTTTCCTAATGGGATAAGATAAAAGCTACTTTACTAAAGATATAGAAAGCAAGCAAGATAGTAGTACAATAAACAAGAATAAAACAAATCAAGTGAAGATAATATAGGCCTGCAGCAGCAGCAGCAGTTATGGCAACAACTGCAAAACACTCAAGAATGTTGAATAGAAGTGTGGAATTTGTGGAAGAAGTGGTCCCACAGTACAGTCCTTCAGACTTTAAAAGTCATTTCCGATTGTCCAGGGGACATGTGGAAGTGTGTGTATATATAACATAAAATATGTATTATCTGGACTGGTGATATTAAAAGCCATTTATTCCTTTCTACCAAACAGGATGTGATGACGACTATTGGCCCGTTCTACATGAACAGACAGCACAGTAAAGTGGCGCTCCAAAACAGTGTCCTTGCCTGTCTGTGGACTCTATCCAACCAAGAGTCCTATAGGGGGGGGATTTCCCAACACAGACTGTGCGGTAGATGGATGCCACATTCCCATTGTGAAACCACACTGCGAGAACCCAGTAGCATACCTCAACAGAAAACAGTTTTATTCTGTTGTGCTTACTGGGTTCTGTGACAGTGAGCGGCGATTCTGTCACGTCAATGTGGGCCACCCTGGTAGCTGGCATGATGCACGGGCATTCCGGTTGTCTGCTGTTGGAAGGCTGCTTAATGAAGATCCCCAGTCCCTGGTGCCTGAGGGAATGCACATCATTGGGGACTCTGCCTACCCACTATTGCCTCAGCTTATGAGGCCATACAGGGACAATGGCCATTTAACTGCTCGGCAGCGTTGTTTTAATCAAAAATTAAATGTTGCACGCGTGGTCATTGAGCATACCTTTGGCCTACTGTAAAACAAAGTTCAGGAGGCTCAAATGTTTGTATATGAAAAACCTCGCAAACATTAGCACAGCAGTCACTGCCTGTTGCATACTACACAACATGTGCTTGGAGGAAGGGGAACCAATTGAAGTTGATGAGCAGGTTGAAGCAGCAGATAACGGGCCACCGCATCCCCAGAACCAAGATGCAGTGTTGCACAGAAATCAAATTTGTGACCTTTTGTAAAGAGCTTCTTCTTCCCCCCCCCCCCACACACACAAATAACCACTGTCATATTCTTTGTGGACGAAATTTGTATTTTATTTCCTTTCCTTTTTATGTCATGTCACTCCCTGACTTGCCCCACCACTGTATGGGTTAGCCGTACCATAGATAACCCAACAAAAGTACTCTGGCGCCTCCACTGGCTGTGATTGAGAGAAAATAAAATATTTGTTTACAATAAACATGAATGTGTCATTTGTTTGGTTTGCATTAAAAGAAATTACCGTGTTTGATTTAAATTACAGATGACCTTGCATATTTCTTGCAGCCCTTGCTTGCTGAATCATCTGAGCTGCTAAAATGTTATCTGAAAAAGCATTTACATAATTTAAAGTCATATCCACATTGTTAATATAGGAATGCAATTTAGTTGTTTACTCACCATTTCGTAGTCTTTCTGAAGTTGCTTTTGAGACTCTTACGGTGATCTCTCAGTCGTCTCTCAGTGTAAGGAACACAGATTCCATTTTAACCACTGTAGACAAAGGTGGATCTTTTACCATAAGAAAATATTCTTTGTGTACACAGGGAAGAGTGAGTTCACCACAGGCCAGGGACTCGGCTACTCCTCCGTGATGGACCTCCTGCCACTCCCTCTGCTCGGTGTGGGCTACACACTCTTTGAGGACAACTTCTACACCAGCCCTGCCCTCTTTGGGGATTTTGGGGACATGTTTTATGGGGAAGATGCCACCGTGGCCAGGAGGTGCCAAGATGCTGGAAACAAAAGGGTGAAGAAGACACCCGTGTACTGCAGTAAGTGCCAGGTCCCTCTGTGCTTCACTGTCAAAAATAACTGTTACAAGGAGTGGCATGACTAAATACTGTAACATTCAGGATGTATAAAGTTTTGCGAGCGTGTTTATTACAAAAAAAATGCTTGTTTTTACCTACCTATAGTGTGGTAATGTATAGTGTGTTGGTAAAATGTTTGAAATAAATCTGCTCCAGTTAGAGTCAAATGTTTCCTAATTTGTATTGTGTAAGTAAACATGCATCTCATGCAAAGAGGAAACTGCAGTTTTAATTTAGGTCCAGGCTACAAAGAACATGTTCTACATTCTGTGAATACGTGACACCTATCGTTCCTAGAAGTGTCAGTCGGGTGATAAACATGTAAGGACTGTGGCAAAGTCAACACACAAAACATTTATTTATTTTTTAAAACACTTGTATTTGGATGGAATGAATACCTATAGTGATAATTCAATGTAATACAAATGATTTTTACAGTCTGGTACCTTTTTTTTAAAAAGGTCAAATGGCACTGATGGTATCCAGATGTACCCAAATGTGCCCAAAGGTTAAACTTCTCTAAAAAGGTCAAATTTCACTTGTTTTGCCTCAATCTTGATACAGGGTAATTATGTTATACTTTGGATTCCTAAAGCTTTTAGGCTACTATCCCATCATTCAAGGTTGGTCTTCACCAGTGTTGGGTGTAACGAGTTACAGTAAAGTGTAATGAAATTTGGGTAATATACTACCCGTTACAATTCTCAGTAACGCAGTTACAACACATTTTAAACCGAAATGAAATGGTGTTTTGTTTTTAAGAATTTACTAACATCGCGAGACATTCCGGGTAGATTAGTAAGCCTGGTGTTTACCCTTCAGGCTCAAGATCCCTCCGCTTCGCGTCGGGTTCCCTGATCAGCCTGTCGGGTGTACGGTTCCCCATAATGACCGCCTCGCTGCACATTATCCCGCTCATTACAAGGCCACATACTAAACAAACTACAGAGCCCATTCCGTGTTCCTGTTTACTTCCTCTCTGCCTTCTTCTGGTGATTTATCTGACGTCCAGCGCTCCGTCTTTTAACCTCTTTTACTTTCTCTTTCTTATCCTCCTTAGCAACCTTCATTATAGTCCTTGACAGTGGTCTGTACTACTGTATTAACAACGTGTCACATGTTAATAATTTACAATCGGAATCGAGTATTCAACTAAGCCGTGTAATAAAAGTTGTTAGTAGCCTTAATGGCCTACACAGTTATGCTATACCATATTGCCCTTCACTGGATGTATAATGAGCTGCACTAAACTACATTTTAGCATTTAAAATACCTAGCCATTCTTTTGAGGTTATTTTGGTAAAGTAACTCAAAAGTCATATAAAAGTAGTGTAACTGATTACATTTCAGAGACTGTAATATTGTAATGTAACTTATTTAAAGACAGTAATATGTACTGTATTACATTTTGGAAGTAACTTGCCCAACACTGGTCTTCACTATAAGTAATGGGTTTTTTTTAGGCGGAGATAAGAATTAAAAAAAGATTTAGTAACTCGCTACTTTACTCGTTACTTTACTCGTTACTTTACTCGTTACTTTACTCGTTACTTTACTCGCTACTTTACTCGCTACTTTACTCGTTACTTTACTCGCTACTTTACTCGTTACTTTACTCGCTACTTTATCGCTACTTTACTCGTACTTTACTCGCTACTTTACTCGTTACTTTACTCGCTACTTTACTCGTACTTTACTCGCTACTTTACTC